AGCCCTAAGTCCTAAACCCTAAATGAGCTGCCCACTCACGTGGGACTCCGTGGACGAATTGGCGATTCACGGAGTCGCTGAATGCGAAGACATCTCCGTTGTGCTGCGGGAAGTTGAACCTGGCCAGCGTTTAAGGTTTAGGGTTTAGGGTTTAGGGTTTAGGGTTTAGCGTTCAGGGTAGACCTGAAAACAGTGAGTAGAAGCCTGTGTTCAACAATGGAGGTCCTGTTTATATGCCCAATGCTAATTTGTGAGATGTATCCTAAAATGGCACACTTGAATTTGGTAAATCCCTATAAATGGACAAGCACAGGCTTGCAGAAGATGCAATCAGAATAAGCCCTCCGACTACCCCTGGTGTGTATATGTGTATATATATATGGTACACACGAACTACACCTTCATATTTATATGAGGGTAGTATAGGAACATATTGGGTTTTGGGTCGTTTAGGGTTTAGGGCATGAAGTGTAGGTTAAGTTGACTCAAGGTTCTAAGCCAGCACAGTCCAGCTGCACCCGCACAGCAGCACAGGTTGAAGCGTCAAGGAGGCAGACATATAATATATATATATATGTGAAATATTGCTACATATTCCTGTATATTAGCATAATAGTGCCGCATGTATATATATATATATAACTCTAAACCCTAAACCTTAAACCCTACACACTACAGTTCACATATACACTGCAGCTCATCATTGCTGTTATTGTCTTGGTCGCGCGCTGCTCCTTGGTCTCGCGGTGTTCGAAGACCAGTGCTCGCTCCTATTAGCAGGACAGCTCTCTGTTTGTTTGGGGTTTGGTTTGGGGGCCCTGTAGAATTGAATTTTTATGCCTTTGTAAGGATTATATGGGGAATGAGGGTAATGATAATTAAAACTATGTTTCAAACTTGCAACTGTTTTGGGGAGTAGGGCAATCACTTTCAAGGATGTAGAGCCTATGAGTTACAGGGAGGTAAAGAGAAACCAGGATCCCCAAATGAGTAATGTTTTTTTGGTGGTTAAACCCAGTGAGATAATATTCCTTCTATAAAATACTATACCCCAAAAGGAGGATATAATCTTACTCTATAATGGGTACCATAGTAGTCCCAAATAAAATACCACTCAAATTATCTTTCTACTCTTGAAATGGTAGGACGCCCAGCGTAGGACCTTCAACAGAATCTCACACTTTTGAGAGGCGCGGCCGGAAATGAAGGTTTATGAGAAGTCCAGCTTAACCGCCCCTGAATCTTGCTACCCCGGCCAAACGTACTTCACAGAGGCTCCCCATTCTACCCGAAACAATCGGGTATGCCCCAAAACTTTGACTGCACAGCCTCCCCGAAAGAAGCCCCGATTGTCATGTTCACGCCCGAGAAGTACTGGTCGGAGTGGAAAGAAGTGAAGTCCTGGCAGCCACATGCGAGCACTTGGGGGTTTACCAAATAAAATTGGGGAGGGGGATACCTTTCTGGGGGTCCCATATGAAGGAATATAATAGTTTATGCCTGCTGCTAGTGCACATGATTGGTACTGCCACGATTGCTCCTGTGGTGGAGGTTCATGTTTCTGCTTCTTCTGGACCCGTGGGCCAGGACTTGTGGTGCCAGGGACAAGTCCGCAAAAAGCAGGAGGTGAATGTCCTAAACCGTGAACCCTTGAACACTAAAACGTATGGGTCCTTGCGTTCCGCAGCCTCGGGAATCATAATGTCAAGTCAGGTGATAAGTTGGTGGCAAGGTGGTGTAGGAGGCTAAATAACTACCAACATAAGTTTGACGTCTATTTGAGGAACCCCATACTATAGTTATACAAGGAGTTTAGGACCATAAAATCAATAACTCTTTAGACTTCTACATTAGAGTAAGTTGGAATGGAAGTCACGTCTTCCGTTATCCCCCGTGCAATGTCCAAGCCTGAACGACCAGGAATTGCCACTACCCGGTCCCTGTAGACCAGCAGATAAATTACCAACTAACTACTGCACCTAAAGCCAGCCCACAGAGCCTGCTTAAGGGCCCAGGAACCCTGCCCCCAATGACAATCGCCCAACGAGTTCAGGGTTTGGGGGTCCATTGTCGGTCCTCCCCGGAGCGATAGTGGTTGACGAGGGACCTGCACATACAAGGGGGAATGGAAGCCTCACGAGGGGGCACATCATGGGCTTTGCAAGGAACTCACACAAGGTCATGAAGCAAATCGAGAAGTTTCCGCATGATTCTAGATGCTTTTGAAACTGCATGGCTACTCATCTCCAGGGGGGGGAAGCTGAAATACCAGAAACTTCTTCTATGGTCCTGGGACTACACCCAGCCAATGGTACGGGACACGGTGGCAGACATTCGTGCTAGGAGTTGGGCGTGGAACTTCATGAGCTCCCACGTCTTCCCCCACTTCCAACCCTAAATCCAACTTCCTAACAGTAAAGCCTAGATAACCCCTTTGCGCTAGGCTTTATTCACTATAGCATAGGGGCCTATATTCACCAAGCATAGGGGCCTAAATCATTAGAACATGGGTCATATGCATGTAGGAACTATGAAGGAAAAATGTTGGTAATTATCGAGGCTTTGACAGTCCTCCCTTGAGACTCAGCCCCGGGCCGAATTGGCTCGACACCGAAGTAGCCGGCCAGGAATCGCACCACGCGCTCATAGGTGGGTGACTGCTGCAACCTAGCAGTCATCTGAGCTTTTGTCTAAACTCCTCGTATCCCACTTCATAACCCCTATAATACTCCCATGTGCAATCCGCTATGTAACCCCTTTACGGAGTTTAGACTCTGGCCCATGCAACCGTTGCTTAAGATATTATATATCTACGGATATGTCGGGTTTTTGGGGAGATTATATTTGGGATTCTAGAGGGCCAATTATGAAGAATCCCCACGTCCTGGGGAGAGCACGAAAGCCCCCACATCCCGCTCCCGGCCTCCGGGCCCTGAACCTCAAACTCCCCTAGAAGAGCATGAGCTGTAGACTTGGCCTTAGGGTTTAGGGTTTGGGGTTGGCTTCTTATGCATTTCAATGGCTGCTACGAGGATAGGACACCCCACTGAAACTCACACCCAGGGTCTCAAAAACTGGGCATTTGGCTTCACAGCAGCCAAGGAAAAACCATCTCACGTCATGCTTCAGAGAGCCCCCAGAGACCAGCACTTTATTCTACATCTATGAACTGGCCATTTTGTAGCAACTTCAAAACCGCAAAATAACCAAATTTGGTACAATTTTCTGTGAAAACCCTCATTTGGGCTGCAATTGTTCTAGGCTGCCCAGTATGCAGCACCACATGCCGGGAAGACTGCGTGTCCGAACCCAGTGCCATAGGCCTGGACACCCAAGCCTATAGGGTTTATGGGGTTTATTGGGTTAAGGCTTTATAGGGTGTTGTAGGGATTATAGGGTTTTTAGGTTTTATTGGGATTATAGAGTTTGTAGGGTTTAGGGTTTATAGGATTCATAGGGCTGATAGGGTTTATAGGGTTTATAGGGATTATGGTTCTATAGGCTCAACAGCGTTTATGGGTTGATGGGGTTTATAGAGCTTATAGGTTTACAGGGTTTATGGGGCTTATGGGTTTATGGGGCTTATAGGGCTTATAAGGTTTACCGGGTTTATGGAGTTTGTAGGGTTTATGGGTGGGGTAGTTTCCTCATTACAGGAACCCCCGCAGCGTGGAAAATAATTGATTGTCATTATCATTTTGAAGTCTAGAAGTATTTCAGCCATCCTATACCATGATCATATCACACAAGGAACCTAAGACAAGAACATCGGAAAGTACTTCTTAACCCCGTATGAGCCATAGTCTAACCTCCTAGTATCCCTCTTCATATCCCCTATAGTAGTCCCCTATATAATCCAATATATTAGGGGCTTTGAGTTCTGTGCCAAGGCTTGGGGCTCAAGAGTTACGATGCATGGCTTATATAGGAGGGGCATAGCTACTGGCCACACCAATGACTGGTGTAACCCAGATCCCTGATTAATAAACCCCCTCCCCTTCATAGGGATTATGATAGGGATCCTAATATTTAGGCCCTTCAAAGGAGAGGTTTCTATTAATCATGGGTCTACATTAGGAACCACGGAGGCCTGTGATGGAAAGATAGGAGCAGAAAAGCTGAGTTTGGATTCCTCAAAAAGCAATCCAACCTGGACCATGCCTATGCTGGGTTGTCCGAACGATATGGCTTATGCTTTAGGGCTTAGGGTTTAGGGTGCTGAATCGAACATGCGCAGCACCAGCCCCAATGCCCCAATCCATCGCGCTAGTCGGAAAATTGCCTCCCACAATGCCAGGGGCCATACTCCATGGGGTATTATCCCTACATAATCCCTATATTCCCCTATATTACTACATTACCTCTATATTACCCTTAAAAGGAGCAGGTTTACATGCCCAACGGAACTGTGTTGCAGGTCCTGTGCAAGGCCAGGCCACCGCTCATCCACGTCGGCCTCGAGTCTGTGGAACCCACAAGTTTAGGGTTCAGAGCTCAGGGCATTCAGGAGCCTGAAGAATTGGGAATCTGTCCCCTAATCCGGATCTAATGACTAATTGATGCAGAACAGCCCACCATTGCCATGCTTGCGCGCCGCATCTGACAGCCACAAGACTTACGGCGGCGCATGCGCAGGGGTTTCAACTACAATTATGTTGAAAGCCGCGAATCTACGAGCAGTGAGCATACTTGGGGTTCAAGGAGATTTTACCCCGACAATGGAGAATCACCTGGAGAAGATAATGGAAGATGAAACAGAACTGGGATAATATGGTAGTTCATAAGGATTACCTGAACCCTAAACCCTAAACAATATCCCGGAAACCCCTAACCCTAGATGTCCTTTTGTAAACTCCACGATCCTGACAAGGGAGCCTGATTGAATGGAGACCCCTCTCAGTGCTGAGCTTGTACTCGAGCTCAGACAGAAGCGCCTCAGTGGTCCATGCATGTGGGTGGTTGTCAAAATTATGGTTCCTTTTGGGTACCCTAAATATTAGGCGCCGTATTAGAATAGGGATCCAAAAAGGTTTGACGACCACCCATGTGGGTTCTCAGTTCTCGCAGATCCAAGTACCTAGACACTCCAACTCACGCATCGCGCCACTGTTTCTGTCAGGAAGGCGGCCTGTCTAGACGCTTTTTCCGCTTTCAGCTATCCTCTGGGCAGGCCCAAGTACCCGTTATTGGGGCCCCTACACCTCCAATTAGGGTACTGGTACAGTACCCTCAGAAAATGTGGGGATGAGGGGGGTGTAAGGAGATTCTGGGAGTGTGCTCTGCGGGGCGCCATGGAGACAATCTTTGAAAAGCTTCCATAATCCTGCACGGAGGTCTTACTAATATCTAGCGTTTTTTATACAAGTTGGTCTCTTCAGCTGTCACCGATGTACCTCAGTATAACTTTGAACAGGTGATCCGTACCTTTCCCAGAAACATCCGGACACCAGGATTTCCACAAAATTGCTAGATGTTCACTCCCCAAATTGCCTCCTTCCTCTGGACAGCCCTGGACGAACACTTGCAAAAGCATCCCACAAACCTTTGTTTAGGGTCTAGAGTTTAGGGTGTAGGGTTTAGGGTCTAGGGTGTAGGGTTTAGGGTGTAGGGTTTAGGATTTAGGGTTTAGGGCTGCAGCATCCTATTCAACCCCTCTGGCACCTCAAATTGGAAGATCCTAAAGGGTGCGCATAAAATCATGCAAAGCTGCTACGAAATTCGATCTAACCCCCGCAAATAACCATTGATAAGAATAGCAATAGCCATACTAGTAGCAAAAATAAGGGCAATATTATTAAACCGTAAGAATAACAATAATAACAATAATTAGTAATAATTGTAATAATAATAACAATAGTAATAATAGCAATATTAAACGAAAGGATAATAATCAACAAAGATATTACGTAATAGTAATAAAGACGGTAAGAATAACAATAAGAATCCCAAAAGAACTAATAATGATAGTAATAAACAATAAACAATAGTAGAAATAAGAATAGCACTAATACTACCAATAATAACAATAGTTACTCAGAAGAGGTGTAGCCAAGCCAGGCCTGATATGTGGCGAAATCTTCCGGATCGGCGACAAGCGCCTCCGAAGAAGGCGCTTCTGGTTCTCATGGGTTGAGGGTTTAGGGTTTAGGGCTTAGGGTTTAGGATTTAGAGCTGGATGCTCAGGATATGTGGCCAAAATTAAGGTTACGATCTTGGGCCATTATGAGGATTATGGTATATTGGGGTGTATAATGGGGTCCTTAATCTAGGTAAACTACCATGTCATAACACTTGATGTGGGAATCCCTATGAAAATCGCTACTCATATATAGTAAAAGAGGGAAATGCTCCACATTCTCTGCCCCACGCAGGTCCGTCCTCTTAGTAGTCTGCGTATGCTGCTTGATGCTTAGGACACGTGATTTCACTTGATGTTGGAATCTCTATATCAACCCCCTGAAAATTGCTACTCACATATGACAAGAAGAGGGAAATGCTCCACACGGTCACTTCCCCACGCAGGTCAGTCCTTGTAGTGGTGGGCGTATGCTGCTTGATGCTTAGGACATGTGATTTCATTTGATGTTGGAATCCCTATACCACCCCCATGAACTGCTCGCATGACAAAAGCAGGAAAAACTCCACATTATCATTTTCCCCCCCCCGAGTCAGTCCTTGTAGTAGTGGGCGTTCCCATCAAGCACCGAGGAATAGACTTTGTCCACAGCGCTCTCCAGAAGGTTGAAGTTTGACTTCTTTCCATGCAGGCCACGGAACCTTTCGCAGCTCATAAAGTAACATGGCAACGCATAGCCTGAAACAAATTGGGTCTTCATGACACGTCTTATGACAGCCTCAATGATATGACACGTCTCAGGATGCACAGTGCTAAACTTTTATGCTTCATGCTTGGGTTTACTCTTAGACACTATAAGCCGTGCAGTACGATTCCCACTCCTACAAGGCCCCCTTTCTTTTTCCAGAACACCAGAAAGGATCCAAAAATTGCATCCCTAGCCTAGGATCATATGGGAGATCATAAGGGTTATATTAACTCTAATTAGTCTAAACTCCCAGTACTGTATCCCTTGATACGCCCTATGATAGTCCCATATATAATTCCCTGTGTAACCCGCCTGGGGGTGATTTTGGGTTCTGGCAACAGATCTAATTCAGATCCTTTCAGGGGTCGGCACGCTTGCTCCGCTGCTTGGTTGCCAGCCGCTGAAGGCAAACTAAGTGGAAGCACCTGTGCAAAACCAAGCATGGCGTAGCAATTCCTTTTGTAACACTTGCAAGCATCCTCATAGCAAGATCACAATATCATGACAAAGTGGGAAAACCAGAAGCATCAGATCATGTCATGGCATGAGCTGCAGTCTAAACTCCGAGTGTCCCCCTTGATAACCCCTATAACGCTCCCCTGAATACTTCCCTATACAATCCCCTTTGAGGAGCCTAGACCCTAAAACCACCCCTTTAAGGATTTCAGACCCCGCGCCTTAAACCCTGCAGCTCAACCCTCTAAGGAGTTTAGACTATAGCCCATATCATTCTTATATATCCTTATATAACCCTGTATATATGTAGATATATATATATATATAGATAGCAGTTTCCATTTCACTTTCCATTCTCTTTTTCATTTGATTCTCCATTATTGGGATACTATTATAATCCTATATAATCCCCTATATAAGCCCCTGACCCTAAACCCTAAACACTAAGCCCTAAACCCTAAAACTCTAAACCCTAAACTTTGAACCCCAAACCATAAACCCTAAATATCACCATCCGTAGCCAAAGCCTTTCTCCGGCCTGGCTCTTTGCCTCGACCTCTTGAGGAGCCTCTTTGCGATCTTTGCGCCAACGGGACCTCATTGAGGATACATAGTAAGTATAGTTAAGTTTGGCAGCATTTTGCGATCTAGGGGTAGTCTCATTGGGACTTCCCCAGGTAGAAGCCGTTCGAAGCATCTAAAGAAGCATGAAGATCTTGGAGGATTTGAACGGGCTTCATACACACTATGTTGGTTCGCAGCATCTCAGACATCTCACCGCCGAAACGGCTGGCCGCCTCCAAAATAAGGATGCTTAGACTATCATGGGGCCGTCATGCCAGCTTATCTTCATGAGACTCAACTGTACCCGTACTTTATGAACTTTTTACCAGCATAACTGGCATAACTATTATTGCTACCGCTACAGTTCTTACGAGATTCTGACCATTCTTGCGACTACTGCCGCGGCAGGCGCAAGTGGACCTATTGCGAAGCAGGCCCCTGAAAAAGGACGTCGGAGCTACGACGGGCATTCCTGAGGAACCAACTTCTTCTCCACACCTGCAGATATGAGCGCACGGTGTATGAGGGCCCGCATGATCAGGAAAGAGTTTTACAATGTCTTAACAGGCGCTCATAAGGTCCAGGCGGCATTCTCATGACGATGGGGAGTGAGTAATGCAGCGCAGTATAGACGCTTGGAAGTAGGACTTGGGGGATCCCAGTATACTTTTACAAGTTATGCGACGGCATAATGTAAGCAACTTAGCAAGCTCCTATACCTGGCAGCCTCCCAATACAGGGGGAGTTCCCTTCTGGGGTCTTTGGATCCGCAATCCTCAACCCGCATCCAGATGTTCGGAAACCACACCTGCAGAAAGGTTTGACAAACTCCGCCTCCACATAACAGCCCTACCCCAATACGATCACTAAACGTGCCTCAAGAAATGCCCACTGGCCAAGAAGTGTGGTGCCTGGCTTGAGATACCCTGTACTATGCTCATGTAAGGAATGTGGTACCACAATAAAGTGGTACTTATCAAAAAATGGCTTATTTAGGCTTCTACATCACACGACCGAAGTCCCCAACAACAAATGCCCGGCTTGGCTGCAGCTGGCTGCTCGAGCAGCTCATGGCTGTGTGGAAGTACCGAGTTTCTGGTGGTGGGGCGCGGTTTAGGGGTTAGGGCGTAGGGTTTGGGTTCAAGTGCAGGGTCATGGTTGGGGTTCGGGGTTGAAGAGAGGATTTTACGTCGGGAGTATTTCAGAACTAATTACGTTAAAGCCTTGAGGGGACTGTATATTGGGGGCATGTAGGCGGTATTCATAGCAGGCATGGAGCATTACGAGACTTGTAATGGCAAATAAGCATGCGTACCCGAGTTTGTCGGTCCTGTCTTGTTCGAGTTTATGAAGCTGTGTCGTGTCTCCATACAGTTACACGGCGACGGCGGTTGCGGCCGCTTGATCAGACAAAAGCGCCAGAAGTACACACGCTTGGGCAGGAACCTGGCAAGAACCAGGTGGGCAATGCAAACCTTATCGAATCAAGGTGTCCTCTTGCAGGTTAAACAAGCGAATTTTAGCAAACCCCGCATGTTTGAAGACAGAACTTACTACGTCTTCGTTGGACGCAAGCCAAGAGCAATCATGCCAAAGGTAGTAAAGTTACACCGAATTTGGTGGCTACGGCAAACATCCTTTTTGGCTTCATCCTACAGAGCTGTAGTCCCCTCACCTTCTGGCGGGCACTTTTCGCCTGCAACAAGAAGGAAGCGTTGCGGAAGCGAAAAAAAGAGGCAACTTGATTCTACCTGCATGTGCATGGGATGTATGAACGGGTGATAAGCTCGCTTTATTGGAAGATGAAATTAGCTCGCTCATGACCGCAACTAGTTAGAACTACCCACAGACTTTCAAGCGGGGTGACGGGGCTGAGTGGCACGTTCTGGCCCCTGGGCGGGGATCTTTGAGGAGGACAGGATCTCAAGCTTCTGCTTCCGACGGCACAAGCAAGATCATGGCACACGACAACATGACCCAATGCAGCACTTGCCGCTACTCTCACTCCCGTGTGCATATTCTATTCATGCGGGGACAAATGTTCACACATACCCAGAACTTCCAACTGCCACCTCTTCCATCTCAGGGCGCGGCCCTCAGATCTAGAATCCATGGCTCGGCACCTGGCCTGTGTCCATCAATGCATCTACCAGTGAGACTGAAAAGAGACGGCGCTGACCCCGTGACATCATCAAGATCTCCACATCTGGAATCCTCCAGACGCTTCTTACAGCAAGTACGCGAAAAACAATATCATCATCCTGTGCAAGGATTTGAGATAGAGACTGAAAGACCTGCCCACAGCAAGTACGTGAGACACAAAATCATCATTGTGTGCTGTGCAACGACTAGAGACTGGGACTCCTCAGGCCTCCCGAAAGCAAATACGTGAAACACAAAAACATCAATCATCATCGTGTGCAACAACCTGAGATTGGGGCTGAGAAAACCTCCCCAAGTCCCAGAAAACATACCATTTCTAATGTTTCCTACGCGCCATTCTGAATGCAGCTACCGTGACCTGCAAATCTTGCAACGTTTGAGGAACCTGCTTCGAAGCCTCTATGTTAACAAAACTGTTAAACAAAGCTCGCCAGCAAGTCTTGCACAAGGCCGAATCACCACGGCCGACGCAGGCCTTGGGATTTTACGAACATGTCACCTGAGGTTGCCTCCATTTAGGACATCCGGTTTCGCTCACGGACTGGTGTTCTTCCAGGTATTCTTCAATCTAAAGAAAAGGGCTGTGGTAAACACAATAGCGTCTTCCGGAGGATGGAGACCTAAAGAAAGAACCGCAATACATGGACCAGCCGCCCAAATCCAAGCTGCCTCACAAAATACTTGACCTGTCAATCGTTGGGCCCATGATGCCAAGACCTGCGATGCAAGAACAGCCACGTGTGGAACCAAGATAAGGAGGGTGCATCCAACATTAATGGTACCACTGCGAAAGGAATAAGAGGGAACAATATTCATTTTGTGGGTAACCAGCTGGGACGGCGCACTGCTCTTCGCGACACGCTTGATGTAACTCCTGGCCAGGCGTCTTTTGAGCTTTCTGAACCGGACTTTGGGTCCAGTAGAAATGGTCCTTCGCTTTGCGAAGCCACTATTCACCTCAATCCGCATAGGAGTCAACATTTGTGAGGCCAAATCTTTTGGATAAAGGGCTGGGAAACGCCGTGCCCTTTGTCAGCGGCAGCGTTCTCCTCACAGAGGCATTGGTCGAATTTCGGGGTTTCACCTGCCAG